TTATATTATTATTATATTATGTGTGTGTGTATATATATATATATATATATATATATGCATATACGGAATATATACTTATAAAAGCAAGTTGACCTGGACGAAAAACTTATTGAAGTTTCTGAATGACTTTTTCTTCATAAATTATATCGTAAATATGCTGAAATGGATGAAGGAATACGGTTCGATATTTATAAACAGATATATTATCAATACACAACAATTTTTCAAAAAACATTCAAAGGATATTGAATTTTCATCAGTCGAAGAAAATGAATCCGCAGAGCTACTATGTAATAATATTTCGTCAGATGAACCCAAGGAGCTTTTACATGACTATTTTTCTGAGCTTCCTGTAAGTATTTTGAAAAGTTTTTATCTTATAATATTTATCATAATATTATTTTATTTATTAAAATTTTATATTTTAACTTTCCAGGTTGAAGTAATACTAAAAATATTAAAATATTTGGATTTGAAATCCTTGTATCGTATGTGTAGAGTAAATAAATATTTTAATGATTTAGCACAAAATCCTATGTTATACACAAGTTTTAGATTGCATTCATATGAATTACATTGTTATAAAAATGTTACGGGTAAAGATTTATTGAAATTATTAGAAACATCCAGATATAAATATTTAAAAAAGGTTGAAATTGATAACACTGACAGATTTTCTAGTTGGGAAGTCTTGTCTCTCATTCTGACATATGGCAGTTCTTTAACGTGCTTATATTTGTGTTTCACTGAAGACATCAATATTGATAATATCACTAGTACAATTTCAATAAAGTGTAAAAATTTGAAAGGTATGAAAATTATGTGATGTATCTAAGAAATTAATACATAGGAATATTATACATAGTATCATGCAAATTCTCTGAAAATACAGAGTATCCCGTAGCACTGCCCTCATTATTCGTGAAAATATAGATAAATATCAATAATTTTTGAGTTATTAAATATTAAAGTTGCACAAATAAGAGCGCGCGGGGAGAAAGCGTTCGCTTACCTGACCCGTATGACGGTCCAGCATGAAGACAATGGCCATCCGGCGCTCGGTAATGGGCGGAGCGCGCACGGCGAGGGGAAGGAGCCGTCGCTCACGCTTCCTATTCGTCTTACGGAATTATTGCGAATATCGCAAAATGGTATAAGACATTTTCATTTATCTCGCTCCCGTTTACCTTCTCACGAGTGATGAGGACAGTGCTACGAAATACTCTGTATATATACACAATTTCCTAGGTATATATACAATTAATATATAATTACAACAAACATTTTTCTTTTAGAATTGAAGATAAGTAGATGCGGAAAACACATAACAGAAAAAGGATTTCTATGTCTTGCAAATTTGCAGTTTTTAGAATATTTTGCTTTGTCTCAGAGTTATATAACAACTACTACTCTTTGTAAAATAGTACGGAACAATCGTCGATTGCGTCACTTGGCTATAACATACAGTTTTTCTAATATTGATTTAGTCGATGTCTTCAAAAAATTGAAAAAATATTGTCCAAATTTAGAGATCGTAGATTTTCATGGATATGTGAATATATCCACAATGCGATATTTCGATCAACTCTCTGAGTGTAAAAATCTTCGGGAAGTCAATTTTAATTCGCGGTATACGCGGTACGTATCACAGTTTTATCTCTCTCTCTCTCTCTCTCTCCCCCTCTTTCTCTAATATTTAAATTTTCTATAGTATCCGCATCTTCATTAAAATTTGAAAATGTTTCTTTTTTTTATTGCTTATCTTGAAACACTGTTTTTTTATGTGGAAATCTATAATATAGTATCTATAATATAGTTTTATATCTATAATATAGTTTTTGGTTTGTTTACAGCATATATAAAACTGAAGATAGTGCAAGTTTTCGTCATTTTCTTTCCTCCTGCCAATATTTAGAAAAAATCTGCTTACGACGTTATAAAGGATTCACCGATCATGATTTAAAAGCATTGACATTGTGCAAAAATTTGAAATATTTAGATTTGATGGGCATTCAAACTCTCACAGCCAACACATGTCATAGTATTTTTAAACACTGTCCTAAATTAGAATTTATCAATCTCACGTTTTGTAATAACATTTCTGATTCGTTCATTAAGCAATGGCAAGAAGAGCATTCACATGTAACTATCAGAAGAATGGATGAAAAAGATCAGCTAGAAGATATTTTCTTTCCGTTCGACCTTGTGACAAACATTCGTTTCTACGGAATATGACGTTCAGGTCCACACAACCTCACTAGAGTAATAATCTCTAGTGTAATAGCGTTTTCGAGTGAAGTAGAATCTAATCCAAGTTGGGTGCACTGCTTACACCTAAAACGAGATTTTCTTTCTTTTTCCAAACTCTCTTATTCTATATCCATCTCGTTTTAGATATAGATAATGTATCCAACCAGGATTAGGATCCATTTCACCCAAAAACACTATAAAAGAGCGAGCGCCTCATCTGGCCATTTACTTGCGCATTTAGCCACGGCGCTTCTAAACCAGAGAAAAGCCTGAGAAACATATCCGCAATTTGGCTACTAACTTTAGTTTGAAGCGCTTTATGTCCATAAAACG